TTTTATTTTATTTTGTAACAGTAACTTATAAAATTAAGTAATTTATATATTTTCCATAGTTTGTAAATTTAATCATAAATATATTTTTTTATGATGTTAGATTATTATTATAAACTAAAATTCTATTACATTCTAATTAAAAATGGAGAATTAAAAAACTACTAATATATTTGTATAGTCTATATGTATATGATAAAAATAAATATTATTCCCTCCGCTAAGAAAAAGCATTTTAAATAATAAGTAATATATCTTTTTATATTTTCAATGCATTCATTAATCATAAATTGTAAACTTCCAAAAAATACTTATGTTTATTAAAATTTTATTAGTTGAAATTTTTTGGTAATGGTTAGCTACAAAAACTAATGCATCAGTAATCAAAATTTCATATGTTTTCTTAATGTGTGGAAATTCTAAAACTTACATCTTTTTAAAGCAAAAGGAGTATTATTTGTATACTTAAACAAAACTTTAAGTAAGTGTGTAAATAAAATAACACACATTTAATTTTTTTGAATAAACTAAAATATTAATAAGCAATATTATAAAATTTATATTTAAATTAGTATTAATCAAATTTTAATATTATAAATGAATTTCTTAAAATTAGATTAATATTTGTTTTACTTGATATGAATAAATACAAAATATATCATTTATTTGTTGGTGGGTTAAGTAACATTAGTTTTATACAAGTGTAGATTTTTCTTCAAACATACAAAATATTTAGATTTATACAAAACAAGCTAAAGAACATATTATCATTTTGATTACCAATGTAGCGAGAGTTAAGAGAACAGATTAACTCATTTCAGTTATAACATGCAAAAAACCCAAAATCAATGTGAGAGATATATTTTATCCTTCAACAATAGTTTTATTAAATTATACCAACCAATTATTACATAAGTTTTAAAATCAATAGACTGAACTTATATATTCTGTTCAACACATCATTTTTTTTCATAACAAAAAATAAGCTTGTTAAAAATAAAAGGAAAACAAAATAAATACACAATGTAAAACTTTAGATACTTTTCACCAAACTATTTTTTTAAGTAGTTATGCGCTTTAAAAACGCAGCTAAAAAACTAGTAATAAATTAAAATTGGTTATAATTGAGTTTTAGTATATTTTGTACATTTTATTGAAAATAACTTGTTTATATAGGCTAGTTATGCATTTTACCATAAATTAGGTTAACATAAATGTAGTTAAAGCTTAATGACAAATACAACTTCTAATACTTCACTTAACAATAATTAAAACTAGATTTTGACCCGCGCTTAAAAGCGCGGAAATTTTTTTTGCTTAAAAGTTTATATAATTAGGTTTTGTCTTTATTCAAAGTATATTTTGGTATAAAATCAGTAATCCAAAATTTGTGGTGATTATTGATTTGCATTAGTTTTTAGTTTCATTTTTTAATTTTAGATTTGGTTTAAGATTTTGGTTTTTGGTTTTTGGTTTTTAATTTTTAAGTTTCTAGTTTTGATTTTCAGCTTTTGGTTTGGGTTTTTAGCTTTTAGATCCGCTGAATTAGTTTGAACTCATAATTACCAACAAACAAATCCCAAAGAATCGAACATCTAATTTAAAATTGAAAAGATGAGAATTTTTATTTCAAAAATGCAATAGTTTATTTTGTGTAAATAAACAAAACAAAATAAAAAATATAACAAGCGTTTTCAGCTTTTGGTTTTGGATTTTAATTTTTAGATTTGGTTTTTAGTTTTGCTTTACATTTATTTTTTTCAAATCAATAAATTATTTAAGAAAAATAAAAAAAAAATAAAATATTATAAAAGTTACCATTGAAATTTATCAAGACAGAGTGATCAATTCTATTAAAATAGAGTCATTCTTTTTTCTACTAATACAAGTTGTCATTTAAATTTGGACTCTTTCTAGAGTGATACTAATAATACAAATTATATAGTTAGTTGAACTGATTACTTAAATTAAACCGACGGTTATTTATGGAATAGAGTTTTGGGCTTACTTTTGTTTTTATGGCATTTAATTGTTTGGTTTTTGGGCTTAGTATTAAAGAAAAACTCCAAAAAACATTAAATAAACTTTTGACCTTAATGGATCAAAAATCAATTACTATTTTCAGGCCCAAAAATATTTAATATTTTCAACAAAACAAAATTATTTATTATTCATCACTTATTTAAATCATGTACTTTAAAACATGTTAATATTTTAGCCCAAAAATATTTAATATTTTCAACAAAACAAAATTATCTATTATTAATCACTTATTTAAATCATGTACTATAAAACATGTTAATATTTTTCTATTTTAAATAACAATCCCTCTATCTTGATAAATTTTAATGGTAACTTTTAAATAATTTATTGTTTTATTTTTCTTAAATAATTTACAGATTTAAAAAAGAATGTTAAGCAAAACCAAAAACCAAATCTAAAAACTAAAATCCAAACCCAAAAGCTGAAAACGCAGGTTATATTTTTTGTTTTTTTATTTACAAAATAAACTATTTCAAAATTTTTAGAAAATTATTTTGTCATCTTTTCAGTTTTAAATTACATGTTCGATTAATTGAGATTTGTTTGTTGGTAATATCAGTTCAAACTAACTCAGCGGATCTAAAAATTAAAAACCCAAACCAAAAGCTGAAAATCAAAAATAGAAACTTAAAAACTAAAAACCAAAAACCAAAATTTAAAATAAAATCTAAAAATAAAAACTGAAACTAAAAACTAATGAAAAACAACTATCACCACAAATTTTTGTAAACTAGTTTTATACCAAAACATTCTTTAAATTAAGAGAAAACCCAATTATATAAATTTTAATTCATAAAAAGTTTCCGGGTCAAAATCTAGACTTAGTTTTATTTCTCGAAAATTTTTGACCCGCGCTTAAAAAGCGCAGAAAATTTTTATGATTAAAAAATTAGGTTTTGTCTTAATTTAAAGAATTTTTTGGTATAAAATTAGTTACCAAAATTTGTGGTGATAGTTGTTTTTCATTAGTTTTTAGTTTCAGTTTTTATTTTTAGATTTTGTTTTAAATTTTGGTTTTTGGTTTTTAGTTTTTAAGTTTCTATTTTTGATTTTCAGCTTTTGGTTTGGGCTTTTAATTTTTAGACCCGCCGAGTTAGTTTGAACTGATATTACCAACAAACAAATTTCAATTAATCAAACATGTAATTTAAAACTGAAAAGATGACAAAATAATTTTCTAAAAATTTTAAAATAGTTTTTTTTGTAAAAAAAAAGCAAAAAATATAAGCTGTGTTTTCAGCTTTTGGTTTTGGATTTTAGTTTTTTGATTTGGTTTTTGGTTTTGCTTTACATTTTTTTTAATCTGTAAATTATTTAAGAAAATAAAAAAATAAATTATTTAAAAGTTACCATTAAAATTTATCAAGATAGAGTGATTGTTATTTTTTTTTTTTTATAACACTGATACTAGTTCGAGCCGAAAAGGTGTGATAACATACAAAGAAACAGCATGAAAAAGATATGTGTCAATAGACACCAAGAGAGAACATAATAGGAAATAAAAAATATTAACATGTTTTAAAGTACATGATTTAAATAAGTGATTAATAATAGATAATTTTGTTTTGTTGAAAATATTAAATATTTTTGGGCTAAAAAATATTAACATGTTTTAAAGTACATGATTTAAATAAGTGATTAATAATAGATAATTTTGTTTTTTTGAAAATATTAAATATTTTTGGACCTGAAAATAGTAATTGATATTTGATCCATTAAGGTGGAAAGTTTATTTAATGTTTTTGGAGTTTTTCTTTAATACTAAGCCCAAAAACCAAACAATTAAATGTCATAAAAAAGCTAGATTTTGGAATATGTAATTTATTATAGAAACATTTTCAAAATAATTTATTGGCTTTTCAATCTAGATTTTGACCTGCGCTTGAAAGCACGGAAATTTTTTATGAAAACAAAAAAACTCAAAATAAAAAATAAAACAATAAAAACAATAAATTCATTAGTTTATTGTTTTATTTTTTCATTAGTTTTATTTTTTATGAATTTTTTTAATTTCAATCTAGAATTAAATGACATTTATTTTTACAATTAAATGTCATAATTTTTTTAAAAAAGCTGTTGTCATCTTTTTAGTTTTAAATTAAATGTTCGATTATTTGGGATTTCTTTTTTCAAATCAGTAAATTATTTAAGAAAAATAAAAAAATAAACTATTATAAAAGTTACCATTGAAATTTATCAAGACAGAGTGATTGTTATTTAAAATAAAAAAGATTAACATGTTTTAAAGTACATGATTTAAATAACTGATTAATAATATATAATTTTGTTTTGTTAAAATATTAAATACTTTTAGGCTTTAAAATAGTAATTGATTTTTTGATCCATTAAGGTAAAACATTTATTCAATGTTTTTTTTAGTTTTTCTTTAATACTAAGCCCAAAACCCAAACTATATAATTTGTCATAAAAACAAAAGTAAGCCCAAAACTTTATTCCATAAATAACTATCGGTTTAATTTAAGTAATCCGGTTCAATCAACTATATGACTTGTATTATTTGTAACGCTGTAGAATAGGTCTAAATTTAAATGACAACTTATATCCGTAGATAAAAAAATGACTCTATTTTAATAGAGTAGATGTCAAGATTGTTTACAAAAGTAATATGTCGGATACGAAGACCATCAAATAATTTTATAGAAAATCTAACCTGTTATTTACAATAGTGATATCAAATGAATACACATGTTTATTGTTTTAAAAGAAAAAACAGTATATATTCTGTCCAGCTGGGTCTAAATATTATAAACAAAGTGCATGCTTGGACTCAAAGTACAATTTTTAAGAGAGAAAATACGAACACCGGAATATATGCATGTTTGATTCAAATAATTAGAGTAACTTTAAAGCATATGTTTATACACAATTACACATTTTCTAGAAAGTTAAACATTATATAAGCCAAATAGTCCAGCATCTTCTTTACCATCAAATCCTAAAACAACTCTAAGAACAAAGAAAACATTTTGAGGCTAAAATATACTAAATTGAAAATGGCATTCTCCAAGAGACTCGTATTCGTGATGATCTTTACAGTTTTGGCTTTAGTTAAGCTCTCAGAAGCAGCTCTTGATGCTCACTACTATGACGGATCTTGCCCTGTTGCCGATAAAATCATACTTGAAAGTGTTAAGAAGGCTATCTTGCATGATCCCAAAGTACCTGCTCGTCTACTCAGAATGTTCTTCCACGATTGCTTCATCAGAGTATGCATCTTCTTTCTTTGATGGTTGATATTTAATTCAAGTAGACATGAAATTTATGAAGATCGTTTGTAAATTATTTGGTTGGTTGGTGTAGGGTTGTGATGCTTCTATTCTACTAGATTCGACCAACTCAAAGCAAGCTGAGAAGGACGGCCCACCAAACATTTCGGTACGATCATTTTACGTTATTGTGGATGCTAAGACAAAACTTGAAAAGGTTTGCCCCGGTACTGTGTCTTCTGCCGACGTGATCGCCATCGCAGCTAGAGATGTGGTCACCCTGGTGAGTCTTTTGTGATATAGTGATCCTTTTATGGTTTAACATTTGGTTCGGTTTGATTTGTCAAACTCTTAAGACTATATGCAATACTTCTCATGTCTTAGTCCGGTGGTCCTTATTGGAGCGTGCTGAAAGGGCGAAAAGATGGTCGAACTTCGCGAGCCAATGAGACAATCAATCTACCGGGACCAACGTTCAACGTGTCTCAACTGATCCAAAGCTTTGCAGCAAGAGGCTTGTCAGTGAAAGACATGGTTACACTCTCCGGCGGCCACACAATAGGATTCTCTCATTGTTCTTCTTTCGAGGCCCGTCTTCATAACTTCAGCAAGTTCCATGACGTTGATCCATCCATGAACTTTGCATTTGCGCAAAGCCTAAAGAAGAAATGCCCGAGATCTAACAACCGAGGCAAGAATGCAGGGACTGTCTTGGACTCGACAACCGCGGTTTTTGATAATGACTACTACAAGCAGATTCTATCTGGAAAAGGTGTGTTTGGGTCTGATCAGGCGCTTCTAGGAGATAACCGGACTAAGTGGATCGTTGAAACATATGCTCGAGACCAGAAGGCCTTCTTCAGAGAGTTTGCAATTTCCATGGTGAAACTTGGGAACTTTGGTGTCAAGGAGACGGGAGAAGTGAGAGTCAATCCTCGCATCGTCAATTAAAAAGCAAAAGTCTACGGAAAAGATATGCAACTGAGAGTTTTCTTATTTTTAAATTTGATTTCATTTGTATTTCACATATCATAATAAATCCTATAGAATTACTATGAGTTGCAGCATTTGCTTGACATGTTAGCTTGTTCTGCTTCAGTGAACTTAAAAGTTATATCCCAAATGTTGAATAAAAGTAACCGATTTGTTAAACACAGAACACATAGAATTTGAATAATGTTTATTTATGCAAAAACAACATCAGAACGGAACACATACTTGACTCCCTTGGAGACATTTCTTCCTTCATGTAACATACACTTGTCTCCATGGATGTGAAAGAGAGCCATACCTTCCACTGGAGCTACCTGCGGCCGATAAAATAAGTTTATATAACGTCACACCGAACAAAACAAAACGAAAAAAAAACAACTGTTTGGGAGTTACCTCAGCTACAATACTGTTTCTTGAACCATAAAAGACAGTTTCTCCACCAACTAAAGGCTCAGCTGAAGAAGAATCATTTGTCTTGCTTGAAGAACTGCTCTTGGATTTTGATTTTGCGTTGTTGTTGCCGCTTAGATATATCAATAATGTGTAATAGGTCCGCTTCCCATCTTCAAGATCAACACTTTCATCAATGTGACGGCCAAAATGCTGACCAGCACTATACCTGAAAATTAACAAAGGATGCGTACTCTTTGACCATCTTCCCATAATCTAACCATCACCAAAAATCAAAATAATGAAACTTTAACGTGTGCAAAACCTGTAAAATCGAATGTTTGGATTCAAGCCAACAGCGACTTTCCTCCTAATCTTGATATCAGTAAACAAATTAGAAAGCCCGGACTGCCATAATGTATCAGCAAGGACAGGATCGTTCACAGAGATTCGATGGTTATCTCTAAAAGCTTCACCATAAGCAGGGCCACGGCTTCCTTGGTGAGTGAAACCTAGAGACTCTGCGATTTTAACAAAGCCCTTTGATTCATCACTAGTGAGACAGTTCTCCACCTGAAAATCATCATCAACCCAAATGTTAAAAAGCCTCTAAAGAAGCTATTAACAGAACCACTTAAACATCAAACATAAATGATTCGGACAAAGCTATAACTTTTACATGAACTAATTGGTTTAACCTAGATTGAATCGAACAAAGGTAAAGCTAATTGGTGATAATATGAGTTACATTACCGTGAAGAGATCAAGATTCTTGAGATAAGAGACACTGAGATTGGGTTTGGATTTGATCTTCGGCCACTTGATTGATGCAGACAATTCTCCGTTGTCTCCCATCTTCGCGATTTGGGGAGGATATAGGGAGATCAAAGGATTTATATTAACTAAATTCATTTTATTTTCTTTTTCTCACTTGATTCAGTTTTAACGGGCATGTATATTTATAAAATAAATATACAATAATAATTGATTGCTATTTACTTTATAGTTTGTATGTCTAATTTATATAATAATATTATATTACTTTAATTATATATATAATTTCAGATATGTTATATTTAGTCTGTTTTATTGTTTTTACGGTCGATTTAGTTATCATTTAGATATATTGGATTCTATCTATTTCTCTGAATTCAACTATTATCTTTTATAATTTAAATATATTAAATTTTTGATTAATTGTCTTATTTGTATTTATGCTAATTGTTATCTTAGAAATATAAGTGCTTAGAAGAAAAAAAAAACTAAGTTTCTGATTCTAAATTACATACATAAGTAACTAATGAATTTTTAGAAGCCTTTGAACACATATCAATATTTACAATAATTAAAATATTTTATAAATTCTATGTCTATGGTTAAGGATTCTGATTTGCTTAAGTATTTTGACTATGGTTATATTAAGTTTCACAAACATAAAAACAGAAAATTAAAAATCAAAATATTTATTAAGAAAACAGATAATTTTAACTATTAAAATATAATATATCTACCTCGTTAAATATATAATGTTATGGTATTTTAAAATAATTGTAGTTATTTTCTGTTTTTATGTTTGTGAAACTTAATATAACCATAATCAAAATACTTACGTAAATCAGAATCCTTATTCTTAAAACAGATAATTTTAGCTATTAATAAATAATATATCTAGCTCATTAAATTATATAGTGTTATGATATTTTAAAATAATTGTAGTTACTTGATCAAAAGATATTTATTTTATTTTTAGTATCTCTTAAAATAGTCAGTACAAAGTGATTATTTTTAAGAAATTATACTATATAAGTAAAATAGTATTTATATTTTTACTGTAATTGTAAGATATTATAGTCAAATAAATATACTAAAAAGATAATTTCAATAATACTAATTATAAAAAATTTCAGTTAAACATATATCAATTTATGTTAGTTGATTATTTTATGTAACCATCTAATAAAATAGATAGATATATACAATAATAATTATTTTGAAAATATATATATTTTATTGTTTAAAATTATTTTTTAAAGAAAAAATATTTCTTTTTCTAATAGCAATATTTTTTGTGTGAAATTTTTTTATGAAATCACATCATATACAGATATTGTTTTTTTATGTAAGAAGATATAGATATAAAGTATTTTATTACTTCAGAGGTATATTTTATGTTATTTAAAATATATTTAAATTAAATATTACTATTTTGTGAACTTTCTTTTTTTTATTAAACCATATTATATATACTTATATTTTCGTTTTTAAACAGTTTTGTAAATTTTATAAATGTTTCCTTTTTATTTTATATTGTTATTTGGAAATTTTTAAGAAGAAAATAATATTTAATTGTATTTTTAATTCATTAGGGGTATCATAGTAATCAACCATCGTGAAAGTTAACGTGAACGCGACACCTAAGAAAGTGACTTCTCAAATAATATTATAGAGATAACTAGAACTCATAAACCATTGATTTTATAAAAATGTTATATATATATTTTATGTTTTATAATTTGCATAAAATACAATATATTATTTTATAATATAAAAATATAAATGTTTAACAATAATTTTTTTATTTGTACATAATATTATATTAGAATTTTTATAACTTGATACAATTTGATGTAATTTTACTATTTATATACTAACATGTTGTTTTTTTGTTAATTTATTTTTAAATGAAACAACATACTAAAAACTATTTTTACATTAGTTTTCTATTAATTTTATAATATTTTGTTTTTAAAAAAAAATTGAACTCTCAAAATTTTATATTTGACTAAATTAAATAAAGTCATATTATATTTAATAGTCATTTTATATAATATATCCTATATATTTCGGTTTGTATTTTTATTTTCACCACAAAAAAATCATTGTAATTAATTAATTTAAATTGATTTTAAATGTAATGATAGTATCTGTAAATAAAAAAGTAGAAAAGAAAGTATTAATTTGTTATCAATGTTTTCAAACAATTCTCATTTATCCTATTATCTTTATTTTCAAACAATATAAAAAGATGCTTCATTTTAATAATATAGATGTTATTGTTATTTTCAGAGACATGAAGGTTAATGAGCTGGTCTACAAAAATTGTTTGAAGCCCAAAGATATATAATAAACCCCACTAAAAGATATAATTGCAATATGGGTGACATAGGATCTGATTTGCTCTTTTACTAATTAACTAGGTGACTTCCTGCACCATGTGCAGAAATAAAAGTTTTACAAAAAAAAATTATATTTAAAAATAAAATTTAATTAGTTTTTAAAATGTATTATTTTATTACATTATTAATTTTACATTAATTATATGTAAAAATTAAGAGAAAATAAACAGTTTTATTTAAATATATGATAGTTCTCTCAAATAGAAATTTTTTAGGTTTTTTCACAAAAATAGATCTTAAACCTAAAATGACTAAAACAACATTTTTTATTTTGAAAATTTTATTTTTTTTAAAAAAAAAATTTGTAATCCTATCCCCAAAACCCACTCCTCAACTTTAAACAAAAAGGTTTACGATTAGTTAACCCAAAGGATATAAGTGTATATTTACTTATTTTTGATAAAATATTTAAGTCCATCTTGGTCATTTTTATTTTAAGGTCTATATTTGTGATTAAAACTTTTTTTTAGGTCTATCTTAAAAAAATTTCTTAAATTTATATTTAATAATATATATGTATCTTTTATCTTTTGGTTAAATTATATTAAATCAGATTCTATACTATTAAGAGAAAATTTTGTTAGATATATAATTATCAAAATATAAAACTAAATAATATTTCTAAAATTTATAGATGTTATAAATAAAGCTAATGGTATTGGAATTAGAAAATTTATAGATGTTATAAATAAAGCTAATGGTATTGAAATTAGAAAATTTATAGATGTTATAAATAAAGCTAATGGTATTTGAAAAACAAAATTTATTAACAAAAAATATATAATTAAAAAATACACTTAAAATATTTCAATATTTGTAATATTATTATATTTATATTTCTACTATAATATTATTTATTATCTTAATGATAATTTATGAGTTCTTTTTCTTATCACTATTTTAATACAAATTTTTGTTTACTTAAACATAAAAAGTAATATAAAAATATTTTTGTTTATTTTAAATTATATTTAAGAATATGCATGTATATATTTAAAATTATAATCTTACATAATTTTTTATCTATTTATTTTAATTAAATATATTAAATAAATTTGTAGAAAATTTTATAATTATCAAAATTTAAAATTAGACAATATTTATTAAATTTTTAAATATATAAGAAATTAATAATTTTAGGATTAAATTTTAATAATTTTCAAAAAAATGTATACATTTTTGAAATTTTTGTAATAAAATTGTATAGTTTTAAAATATATAACTAAATGATATTTTCGAAATTTTTAATGCCATATTGGTATATATTTATTTTAATGATGATTTATTAGTTATTACCATATTTTAAAAATATTTCCAAAAATATAAATCGACATGAAATGTAATATATGAGTTGTTACCATATTCTATAAAGTTTTCCAAAAATATATATTAACATTAAATGCAATTGTCCATGTCATATTTAATCATATGTCATGTCATCAATTTTAGTAGACATGTCATCATTAATTTGTGAAACTGATTCTAGAGAGGACATGTGGCAAAATCACTTCACAAATAATGTATAGGGGATTAATGATGATTTATTAGTTATTACCATATTTTAAAAATATTTCCAAAAATATAAATCGACATTAAATGTAATATATGAATTGTTACCATATTCTATAAAGTTTTCCAAAAATATATATTAACATTAAATGCAATTGTCCATGTCATATTTAATCATATGTCATGTCATCAATTTTAGTAGACATGTCATCATTAATTTGTGAAACTGATTCTAGAGAGGACATGTGGCAAAATCACTTAACAAATAATGTATAGAGGACTAGTTTTTGATATGCACGTCTGTACGTGCTATATTTTTCTGAATCTTTAATTTATTTTTTTCATTCAAGTGTGTTGCATAATTTCAGATGTTTGAACATAATATAAGTTCCATATTATAATATGTACAAAACTTTATTTGGTTTATATGGCGATCATATTATTTTGTGTTTGTAATAAGCACAATATATCATATGTTCTTCAGGGTTTATAAGTTATATTGAAATGTTTAATATATACTAATTAATATTACGCAAAAGATTTACTAATTTTACAGTGAAGAAATCTATATTAATCTAGTTAATTAAATGTATTTATAGAATATAAGAATCATTGTTAGTTTTAAATTCATTTTCTAAACACAAAAGTTCTAAACAAAAGTTCTAATGCTTATTTTGTAAATAAAATAAAACAAACCTTAAAGAACCAAATGGAAAAAAAAAGGTGTAATTTGGGAAGCCCAATATCGTGATCAAATTTGGGGTGTTAATAACAATATTGATTTGGGCTAAAACGAATCATGATTTATTTACTATTTTTGGGAACAAACAGACCCTTTTTATTTACTATTCCAAGTAAAAACAAGGGTTTTTTTGCAAATTTGACTCAAAACTCCAAGTCAAACACAAAACTAACCTCTTCTTTTGACTCATCTTGTTTTTGTCCTATTCACCCCACATCTTCATTTTATTTACGAAAATGCCATTTAAATGTTTTTTGAATTTTTTTTCGAAAATGGCATTTTTACTCTCTCAACCTCATCATCTTCAAGTATTTACAACATTGTCATTGCCATGAATACTCCCAACAACCTTGTACAACCCAACAACCTTGTACAACCAAGGTTTGAAGCTTTTAATACACTTAAAATCGATATCCATACTCTCTTTCTCAATTGTTATGAACTAAAAACAACATCTCCTTCA